TATTAATAAGGTCGCTCTTGTGGAGGCTAATGGGCTCCATCTGGGTCTTTCAAATTGATGGGTTTAGAAGGAAAATTTTGACAAAATCCCCCTTTAAGTTGAATGTTAATAAAATCCCTCTTACCGTTTTACAAACCCATTTACTAGAATAGATAATCCAGTTCACTACTTCATTCACAGTTGATGAAGATGATCATTTGCATTCAAATACCCAAAGTTTTATCTTATTTTTAACTATGGCACCTTAAAGTTTTCGTTTGTCCAAAAAGTAGCACATAGTTTAACAAAATTAAACTTCAACACCCACTTATTTTTTTCTCAAAAATACCCTAAAATTCAACATAATTTAATTTCAATATCCCAAACTTCAAATGTTTTTAAAAGTTTTGTTACAGTTAAGGTTAGACTTTTGTTAAATTTTTGAGGAATCAAAGTTAAATGCTGTTGAGCTTTACAGTTCATTTTAGGCAAGCAAAAAAAAAGGAGAGAGAGACAGACTTTGGAGTATCAAAGTTAAAAATAAGCCAAGTTGTAGAGTAACTTTGGGCAAAAGAAAACTTTGGGGTATTAAATGAAGTAAACTTTGGGCTAGTTGAGTGCAAATAACCTTATGAATATACTATCAATTGAGCTAAAGACAACTTTATTAATATGATAATATGATATTTGGATGGGGTCTACACAACTACCACTTTCTAAATTTCATTATGCAAGCCAATTAAGTACTCTATGATTCTAATGGAATCCAAGCCGAACAAAGAAAAATGTCAAAGTAAAAATAATGAGCTGGACATCAACTTTCCAACTCGTGTCATAAATACACAAGTTTACCATGAACAACCAAACGGCCCCAAACAAAAAAGATAAGAGCAGCAGCAGCAGCAGCAAAACAGGAAATCATTCTCTATGTACAGAAACATGCAAAGACTCTAGAGCATTTAACTTAAGAGACATAGCAGCAGCAAAAAAGAGTTCAGCAGAACTTCTGAAAGGCATCTACCTAATTTCAGCAAGACAGGGAGAGTTCAGTTCTATACACAAAAACACCAACCATGCAAAATATATCCCCGGCTCAGACCTGAGAATACTACAAACTATAAAAATACCAGCACATAACTTCCTACCATATATGTCTACCTGTACGCGCGGATACCACTAGAAGCAGGACAATCTCGAGCCCAGTGTCCGGACTGGTTGCATTTGAAGCAAACATTACCAGAATCATTCGAGACATTTGAAGCTCTATTCGCTATATCACCTGATGCAGGACAATCTCTAGCCCAGTGTCCAGTTTGGTTGCATTTGAAGCACACATTACCAGTATCATTCGCGACATTTGAAACCCTATTGCCAAAATCCCCACCAAAAGACTGTCCTTGCCTGTTCAAGCTCCTAGGGCAATTCTGGAGAGTGTGACCAGCAGACCCACAACTATTACAGAATGCTTGAGATCCAACATTATGATTCATAACTCCACCATATCCAATATTAGCTTTAAGTCCTGCTTGGTTTGCTGGTTCAACTCTATATCGATCAGCAACACCACTGGTCGAAAAGTTACTAGATGTTGACCGCATGTATCCAGCGTTAGGCACGGAAAGACGTGGAAGTCCATTGGAAGATTCAACTGAAAGCTTACCAATGAGACCCAAAAGATACCTGCTCTCTGATGCTGGGTTCACTTTTTCAGCTTTAACAACGGTTGATTTCACACGCTGCTCATCACTGAATGTTTCCTCTTTTACTTTCAACTTGAACAAATACTGATTGAATAATATGTTTCTTATGAACTCAGAAAATTTTACTTCATCTTGCTCCTCGAATTTCAAGTAGTACAGCTTTTTTGCAGGAACACCCATAATTTCCTCACCGGCTTCTTGGAATGCTGTCACCCAAGTCATACCCGTATGATCTTGGATCTGAAACTGAAGTAAGTACCTATAATCACACTCGGGAAAACTTCGGTCACACCTCTCACATTGCCATGTTCCATCACCATTATTTATAACTTTCTTATTGCATTGACGATCACCCACCATCAATGGACAGGCTGTATAACAAAAATTATCAGATTTAACGAAAGAAATTGTAGCCTTTACTGTGATCCAATCAGGCTTCTCAGATCTCCCAAGACCCTCGTCCTTTATTTGTGTAACGGTCTTTCGGGAATCAGGCGTTCCCATTTGTGAATCCCCCACTCCTTTAACTTGGTCGCCTCAGGAAAATCAGGATTTATGAATAGCTGGCTAGTGGTGATTGTCCCCACAGATTTACCACTAAAATCACTCACTCTGCCAGCTTTGATAGCCAAAATAGGACAGACACCAGAGTCACATAACTCTTGCATCTGCTGGCCTTCAGCACTGCAGAAGTTCCCCCATAAAGTAATTTCAACGCTTCGACCTGACATATCCTTCAACTGAAGGGTTCTTTTGTGTGTTTCTGTGCCATTCTTTCTCATTATTGTACCTGGAGGATTTATTGAAGACACTACACCGATCAAATCAACCATGGTGTTGTTCTCCATGGACTCAATCTCACTTACCGGTCGAAAACTGAATTGCTGCTTCGGGATCGAGTTGTCCTCCTCTGGACAAGGCTGGATTGTTGAAGTAGCCTCCAGAAATATTTCATAATCATTATTGAGATGATTAAAATTCTTCTGCGCAGGCTTCAAGGTTCCCTTGGATATTAAGTACACTTTTCCAGCCTCGAGCTGGTCATAAAACTGGTCAGCTACAAGGTTGAAACAAGTCACTCTAATTTCTCCACCCTCAGAATCAAGAAGGTCAAAAGAGAACACTTTGCCCTCTCCTCTAGGATTGTTGTAGCGCCTTAGCTCCCCCTTAGAAGTCACCCTAGCTTTGATTGTCCACCTGCCTTGGTAAGGATTCAGAGCAGCAATTGGAACTATACGAGCAGGAGCTTCATTCCTAGCTATCGGCCCCCGATTTATGTACATGGAAGGTGGCTGCTGGTAGGCTTGCTGACCTGGGCGACCATAAGTATTTCCCGGAGGACGAAATCCTCCAACTGATGTGTTAGAGAACCGTTGGTTCTGAATACCACCATTTACATATGAACCAACCGGATTGCCAGCACCAAGATCCGGTTTTGAGTGCAAGGAATTTGAGCCGCCCATATTCCTCCCTGGCATGGCACCACCATAGGATGCAGGATTTGTGAGTGGATCCTGCTTAGGACTAACAGAAGCTCCACTCATCATGTTTTGACCAGCAACAGGACTAGCAGAGTGTGAACCACCATACATTTGAGGCACTCCAGAGGCCACACCCGGCTGGTTTACTACGGATGAAGGTGCTGGTATAGTTCGGTTCTGTGGAGCAGCAGAAGCGTCATAGGTTTTCGGTTCCCCAATCGGCTCACACTTTTCAACTACAACTTCCAGGTTGATGACAATTATAATCCTGTGTTTCATAGTCAAATGACAAAAAGAAAGATCCAAAAAGAAAATCATCAGCGATACTAAAAAAACCGCCACGCGTGTTAACAAAAAATTTAAGCAGGCTAATACGTTGTGGTTACGTTTACATAACAGAAAAAAGGGGCTAAATCATAATAAAACTATATATTTGGAATCTTTACCTAAAAAGAACTTTCTTTATTAGTGGTAACTCCTGTGGAGTTATGTTCTTTAAGCTAACTACCAAACAACCATAAATCTAACTTTGAAATGTCTGTACAAAACTTTAAATCAATTCAGTCAATAAGAGTATAATCATAAGAGGAAGGAACTTAAAAGGAAAACTTAAAGAATCGAAGACGCTCGCTTGATAAGGATCTAAACATTCGAGAACCGTCTACAGCATATCAAGCAAACTTACAAAACTTGCTACTCAAAAATAGATAATACTATGTTATAGACAATCAAGCATGCTTCCATACCTATAAAAAATAAATCAAAACAACTAACCAGCGGCAGTAGTAAAGAAATCAACCGCCTAAGCAAACTGTCGAAAAACACAAAATTTCATAAACTAATTGCCATCATACTCACAATTCCAACCCAATACTCGTTCTTTATAGATTCTCACGGGAATACGGAAAGGATTTAACGCTACAAAACCCCCAACCCATCCATCTAATTACATCAAGCCATCACATTTCCAATCGCGAAACGAAAAAAAAAGAAGATGACAAATCGCTGAGCGCTCGAAGAACAAACCTGCGGCCTTGAATAACATTACAGATGAACTCATTCAACTGGACGATGGATCCCTTCTGCAGTCGCCCCTCCTTCACGATGCTGTTCATCTGCGTGGCGAGCATCGCCTGCTGCATGTGGTCGCCGTCGGAGAGCATCATCCGGTACCTCTCCGTCGTGCTCTGCGCCGTGTGGACCAGCCTTATGTCCGTCGCCTGGAGAACTGGCTTCACGATCTCGACCCCGAGTGAGATCGCCGAGATCGCTCCCCTCGTGAGACTCGCAGAGGCCATTGGTGGTGAAGCCCTAGGTCGATTGAGATTTCTTCCGATGGTTTCGTTGGAGCGGGGGATTTTTTTTTCTTTTTTCTTTTCTCTTCCTTTTTTAGGGTTTTAAAACCCTAGAATGCGAAAGGGGGGAACCGCCTCTTTGTTGGTTTTAGAGGGAAATTTTTGGGGACTTTTAGTTTTGGGGCTTTAGAATTTTGGAGTTCCGCCATTTTCTGGGTTGAGAGGGGGCAGGGCAAATCTGGAAATGACGGATGAGTCCCCATGTTGAGCTGGATTTCGCCTTCGTATTGGATACCTAATAGGAGCGGACCCGTGGATATGTTGCCCGAAGAGGGGACCCACTTAAAAATGGGTGAATTTTTGGGGCTATATTTAGGGGGTGTTTGTTTTTTTTTTTTTTTTTGGATATAGGGTAGATTTGAGTTTTTGGGATGTAAAAAGTGGTATTTTGAGGTTTTAGAAATCCATAAATCAAGTTTGTTTCAAAAAAACTTTTGGGATATCAAATCCCAAAACTATAAAATACTAATATTTTTTAGCATTTACAAAATCCTACTTTTTGTAGTGGATGTGGGCTGGATTTCTGACCTCTCGCGTCCAGCTCAGCATTAACTCCGCTCTTTGTTGAAGACGGATCCCATAAAGTCACCGCTGAAGCCTGGGTCCTCTTTTACCCGCTGTCTCCAATTCCGCGGGAAACCCTAGCTCTCGTTCCCGCCGATTCCCAAACCCACGACGCCACCCCCTCCATCCTCTCCACCCCAACTTCAGCGGGCTCCGCCGCCTCCTCAGCGTCCCCAACTCCCAGGCAAGCCGCCTTGCCTCTTCTCCACTCATCTTGAGGTTTTGGGGTAACTTGATTTGCTGATTCGATTATTTCAACCGGACTTCTGTCTGCCCGAACAGTTCTCCGACCAACTCTGTCTCCTCCACGGCAGGTAAAACTCGTTGCCTTCCTCCATAAATTAGGGTTTCTTTGTAAAATTGATGGATTTGGTTTTGTTATTGGGGTGTTCTAGCTGAAATTAATATGTGGTAAGGCATATGCAATTGATTTAGTTTCATCAAGTTTATTTGGCACAATTATTAGACTGAAATTTTCGGATCTAATTTTCAGTCATGACAGTGCTTAAGTCACAATTAAATCAGTTAGTTATTTGGGCGGTGTAAAAAAATTTGTGTTCAGAGACCTTATTGTCAATATCATGATTAGCTTGATGGTAAAGTTGTGCTCAAGTTCAAACCCTTCTGTAATTAGTTACGACCTGCTGTAGGTCCGATAACGATCTTGCCTTGATTGTGCTGATTAATATTGATTTCTTCACTTTGATCAATAAATTGGTATTATCTCAACCAAGGGTATTCGTATGATTGTTTTGTGCTTGGATAGTATTGTGACATTGTTAGCCCATTACTGCTTCTTTGTTTGCCCTTAGGATGGCCTTCTGGTTTTCTTTATAAAAAAGAAAAGAAAAAGAATAACAACTAATGCTTACATACAAATTAATAGATTGTTTTTGTGAATTTTTCAATTTTGTGACTTTGTGAGTTTTTTTAAAACAATGTAGATGGACGACATTGATGAAGAGATGATAACGAGGATGGCTTCTAATGCTACTATATCCGCGGTGATTTGTGTGTTTACATGTTTGATGAGGATACGTAGTAGACGGAAATCAATCACTTATCAACGTAAGGTGAAAAATAAAGAGAAGATAGATATGAGAGCTAGGCACATAAGTCGTGTGTTTAGTGGCTATAATGAGAGTTGTAGGGCTTATGTTAGAATGAGGCCGCGTGCATTTCATAATCTTGTTAGCATAATGAGATATACCGGCCTACTAAAAGATGGGCGGGGGGTTAAAGTAGAAGAACAATTGCTCATGTTCCTTAATATATTAGGCCATAAAACAAAAAATAGAATTGTTAGGTCACATTTCATAAGATCGGGGGAAACCGTTTCAAAATACTTTAACGAGTGCTTGGAAGCCGTGGGTCGTTTAAGGGGGCGGTACATGAAGCAAGCACCAAATGAAGTATCACCAGAGATTGCCACTAACCCGTTATATTATCCTTATTTCAAGGTAATCATTATTATAATATAACTACTCATAATCAAACAATTAATTTTACCTTTCTATTATTAATAACTGTTTAATGTATCATATAGGATTGTATTGGCATGATAGATGGAACCCATATCGACGCCATGCTTCCCGCTAGCCTTGTTGCACGTTTTAGAGGTCGTAAAGGTGTAACTCAAAATGTTCTAGCTGCATGCACTCCCAACAAGTTATTTTCGTATGTTCTAGCTGGATGGGAGGGATCCGCAAATGATTATAGAGTTTTGCAAGACGCGTTATCTAGACCACAACCTCGCGGATTGAGAGTTTACGACGGTAATAAATCAATCAAATAAAGTATGTCTACTTAATTATAATTAAGAAATATACTAAATTTCTTTTTGATATATGTAGGAAAATATTATTTGTGTGATGCGGACTACACTACTATGCATGGCTTTATCTCCCCATATCGAGGAGTGCGGTATCATCTAAATGAGCACAATGGTAGGCCAATAAATAATAGACAAGAGTTGTTCAATTTAAGACACTCATCCCTAAGGTCTAAAATTGAATCAACTTTTGGGGTATTAAAAAATCGTTTCAAAATCCTATCCGCGAAGCCACATTACCCTTTTCTAACTCAAGTTGATATAGTTATTGCATGTACTATACTTCATAACTACATCGCCATAGAAGACCCGGGCGATGAGTTGTTGCATGAGGACAACCATATTGAAGAGGATGGAGATGAAATAGCAAATGAAGGTGAAGAGGGTGTTGTTGACTTTACTCAAACTATGACACAAAGAGAGGAAAGAGATTCAAGAAATGAATGGAGAGCAAAGAGGGATCAAATTGCAATTGAAATGTGGGAAGATTATTGTGCTAAATGGCGCGGTGGAGACACAACCGAGATCGGGATGTAATCTAAGTTATATTCTCCATGTGGTATTGTACTCGTTGATATATTGTCTACTACCTCTATGTATTCGTTCATGTTACAACAATACTCATGGATAAATGAGTATATTATCATTTTCGCATGCTATTTTTGTGTATATCCAACTTGCGGTTCTGTTTAATTTTGTGCTTGTTTGCAACCTTGATTATATGAGCTGCGAGGCTTGTTTGCATAATGGTTTATCAAGCTTGTGGTTTATTTGAGTTTTCTGGATTTAGCTATGAAGATTGGGCTTTATGAATGCTACTTCTTGATGTTCGTACTCTATTATTGTACTAACTTGGGGTTTGAAATTTGTTATTTGTCTGTTTTAATTTGTAGCAATCAGTCATGGCAGATTCTAATGAAAGTGATAAGTTCAGGAATACTTCACCAACAACACCTAGAACACCAACAACACCCCCTTATCCATACTTCCCGGCTCCCCCTCCACCCACTACACAATCATTCCCTCCGCCCCAATACATTGCTCCACCGACTTATCCATCTTACAATCCTTATGATATGAACTACTCATTTATGACTCAACAACCCATGACGTTTATGAATATGCTTAACAGTGGCCACCCACTTATCCATACTTCCCCTGGTACCCATTCAAGTGAGACTCATTCTTTGAAGAGGCCAATGGCAATTGACCTTGAGGATGATGCTGCCTCACCAAGCAAAAGCAAAAGCAAGAAGCGGGCAGTTACTAAAAGAAAAATGCCACCAAAGGTGCTGAACAAAAAAGAGAATACAAGGGGGGTGCCTAATGCTAAATGGACTGCAGAGAATGATGATGTGTTAATCCCCTTCCTTGCTCAGATGGCAAAGGATGGCCTTAAAGTTGATAAAAACTTTAAGGTTCTTGCATATCGAAGAGCTGCAGAGGAGGTCAACAAGAAGTGTGGCACTGAGTTCACAAAGGAGAATGTCATGAACCATGTCAAGTCCTTGAAGGGTAAATATTTTGATATGCGCACTGTTATGGACATGAGTGGGGCTGGTTATGATCCACAAACTAAGATTGTCACCATGGATCCAGATTGTTTTGATAGGTGGACACATGTAATATTTTTGATAAATAAGCAAACTTTGATATTTACTTCTTAGTAACTAATTTTGCAATATTCCATTGTACAGGAAAAAAAATGCAATAGCTCTAGATTGAAAGAGTATTTGAACACTCCTCTCATTCACTATGAGAACTTGTGTTATATCGCGGGAGATGACCAAGCAAAGGGTGATTTCACCAAAGATATGACTGAAAAGCTTGGTTCTAGCCAACATGATACGGATAGAGATGAGGATCATGTAATACTTAGTGATAATGAGGTTGATTTGTCCCCAAGCCCACGTCTTGAGTCCGAGAAATCAAGTGGGCAAAACCACAACTCTCAAAGTAATAAATTGAAGGCTTCTAGTGGGGTAGCTTCTGCATCAATTAATACATCAACTCCTAGGAAGAAGAGTAGCAAGGCTAAAGAGGATGAGACTCTCATGCGTGGTTTAATTGACACGATGTCGTACTCAATTCAAAATCAACATGTACATCAACGTGTTGTGCATTGGAGTGAGACCATGGCGAATGCTCTAATGGCGCATGAGAGTGAATTTTCTGAGGGGGTATTGGATAAAGTGCTTGATTACTTGTATGACCATGAATCAGAAGCTAGGAGGTTGACCATAAAAACCAAAAATTCTCAAAAGCTATTTATAGAGAAGATTATCAATGAGCAAGGGTTTGACTTATGAAAACTTGATATTGCACTACTTTTGAAGACTTTGACATATCTATTGCTTTTGTAAACTCATTGTATATTTAACAACTTAATGATGTAACTAATTTTGTAAGTTGAACACTTAGTGGTGTAGCTTTATGTTATTAATTTTGTAAGTTTAACAACTTAATGATGTAACTAATTTTTGTAAGTTGAACACTTAGTGGTGTAGCTTTATGTTATTAATTTTGTAAGTTTAACAACTTAATGATGTAACTAATTTTGTAAGTTGAACACTTAGTGGAGTAGCTTTATGTTATTAAATTTGTAAGTTTAACAACTTAATAATGTTTTAAATTTCACTACTCTAATTGCAATCTCATGATGACTTTGGTTCTTTTGCAGGTTTATATAAATATCATTGGATATGAGTGGTGATAGCAACCTACATTGCACGATATGTATTGGTATGGCTACTTTGTATTCTTCTAAGTGGGCAGTGATGATGGTCTTAGTTAAGAGAATGCAATCTACAATGTTTTGTTATGTTTAGGTAGGGCAATCTAGGATGAGAATGCAACCGACATCACATTTACAATGTTAGGTAAGGCAATCCATTCATGTGATTGCAACCTACATTGCATTTACAATGTTCGGTGAGACAATCCATTCATTTGATTGCAACCTACATTGCAACACCATTGATAGATGAGGCAATCCATGTATTCAATTTTAATACCTATATCTGAGCCCCTAACTTGGTCATATTATGAGTTGCTGGGCTGGTGGTCTGGGTTGCTGGGTTATGAGAGCTTTTGATTTGGGTTGCTGGTTTTTGTTGCTGGGTTGCTGGTTTTATGTTTGAAATTCAGTTTCAGTTGCTGGGTATGCTGTTTTTGTTGCTGTATATGAGAGTCTCAAGCTTTTGATTTGGCCTGGGTTGTTGGGTTGCTGGGTTTTGATTTGGCCTGGGTTGCTGGGTTTTGCTGGGTTGCTGGGTTGCTATATATTCAGTTTCAGTTTCATATACAGGTTTTGTTTACCTTTTTTTGTTTAAAGGGGCCTGAAACAAATTTATTGACTCTCATATACAGTTTGCTTGTTGACTTGTTCTTGATGGCTTGTGCTTTAATCCCAGTAGCTGGTGATTTTGTTGCTAGAGGTCTGTTTTTTTGCCGCTGGTGGTCTGGGTTGCTGGGTTTGTTGCTTTGTATTCTTCTAAGTGGGCAATGATGATGGTCTTAGTTAAGAGAATGCAATCTACAATGTTTTGCTATGTTTAGGTAGGGCAATCTAGGATGAGAATGCAACCGACATCGCAATTACAATGTTAGGTAAGGCAATCCATTCATGTGATTGCAACCTACATTGCATCCACAACGTCGGTGAGGCAATCCATTCATTTGATTGCAACCTACATTGCAACACCATTGTTAGATGAGGTAATCCATGTATTCAATTTTAATACCTATATCTGAGCCCCTAACTTGGTCCTATTATGAGATTTCAATGCTTGTTTTTGAGCTAATGAGAGAGATCTCTCCCATCAAATTGTTTTATTGACAGTTCATGAGAAAAATTCCTTTATTTGTGGTTTCTCAAGACTAATTTTGTACACATGTAAGTCTTTTCCCTAGATATTTCTGAAATTCCTTTATTTGTGGTTTCTCAAGACTAATTTTGTACACATGTAAGTCTTTTCCCTAGATATTTCTGGTTTGGTTACTTCAAATTTATTGGTAATCTAATTTTGTACACATGTAAGTCTTTTCCCTAGATATTTCTGGTTTGGTTACTTCAAATTTATTGGTAATCAACATTTTAGCAATTTGCATTGAGATTTTGTTTCAAATCAAGCAGGGATGCTATTATGGATTTTGTTGCTGGGTTGCTGGGTTTTGTTGCTGGGTTGCTGGATTTTGTTGCTGGGTTTTGTTGCTGGGTTGCTGGTGATTTTGTTGCTGGAGTTCTGTGTTTTTGCCGCTGGTGTGCTGGGTTTTGCTGGGTTGCTGGGTTTTGTTGCTGGGTTGCTGGGTTTTGTTGCTGGGTTGCTGGTGATTTTGTTGCTGGAGTTTTGTGTTTTTGTCGCTGGTGTGCTGGGTTTTTCTGGGTTGCTGGGTTGCTGGGTTGCTGGGTTTTGTTGCTGGGTTGCTGGTGATTTTGTTGCTGGAGGTCTGGGTTGCTGGGTTTTGTTGCTGGGTTTTGTTGCTGGGTTTGTATGCCTTGTATGCTTGCTGGACGTGGTTGTGCTGGTGACCTTGACTGAGCTAACATGTATAAGAGAGCATGCTTGAAGAGTAAATACAAGAGTTGTTTTTTTTATTGGGGGTAAGCTCACCAAAAATTCTTAAATTCACCAATCATTATTTTGGTGATCCAAAATTTTGTTTGCTACAATTTGGGATTTCAAATTCTAAAATTTGTAATGCTATAATTTAAGTTTGAAACAAACAAAACATTCCAAGTTTTGGTATTTCAAATCCCAAAACTTTGTTAAAACAAACAACATTTTAGAGATCCCAAAAACCACCCAAAAATTTATGGATTTGAAATTCTATGTTGGAATCCATATCTTGAAATTTTGGGATTTGAAACAAACACCCCCTTACAGCACCAAGTTTTAGAAGGAACGGGGTGTGCCAAATGGCAAGAGCTGAATTGCTGAGCTGGCACAGGTGTGCTTTCGGATTCGTGAAACAATTTACCGGCCTACGCGTATGCATTTTGTGCCACTGGATGTCGATCGTGTCACATCAATCCATCCCAAAAAAAGTTTACTTGCTTTAGAGGGTTTGGTTCAATTTACACAGATTATATAGTAAATGTTTTTTACCTAAAAATATGATTTTTTTTACTTCTTAAAAAAATTATAGGAAAAGATTTAAAAAATCGAAAAATACTAATTTTTTTATTTTTTTACTTTGCTTGTTTGGTTCAAAATAAAAAAAATAACCCATAACTTTATAGAAAATATCAAGATTTTCTATAATTTGTAGAAATTGAACCAAACATTCCTTAAATTTATAGAGAAATGTCAACTTTATAGAAAAGTGTCAATGTGGTGTCAGATTTTTGAGCGATTTTCGCTCATATTGAGAGAAAATTGATTCTGTAAATTTTGTACTTTACAAAAAACATTTATATACTTTTTTTGAACCAAACACAGTTTACATAAATCTACAGAAAAATTTTAATTACAAAATTATCATTGTCAGATATTTTGAGAAAACTTTTCTATAAAATTGTGCAACCAAATACCCCTTCTATAGTACAATCATCGACAAGATGATCATTTTCCGTAAATTATCGGCGAAATATTAACTTGTTACAATAGGTTTCTTTGTTTTTTATCTTGTTTAAATTAAACTATGTATTGAATGTGATTTTTTTGTGCACCCATAATTGAATATTAAATAAACTAATAATATGTTAATGTTTTTCGTTGTTATTATATTTTTTGCAATTTAAAAATATTTTTTAACTCATTAAAAAATGGTTAAAAAACAAATAAAATTAGAAGATAGTGGTTAAAAAGTATTTTTTTAGGTTGGGGAAAATGAATAAACTGATAAAAGTCATAAAGATATACAAAAAACACTAATAATATATTAATTAGTTAAATATCTAATTATAAACTCACAAAATAATCATAGTAAATTATAAATATAGTTTGAGGGACAAAATAGACACATTAATACCTTTAAGGGCAACTTCCAAGCTCACTAATGCTTTATGGGTAAATAATCGCCCTACAGCCATTTATCGTGTTTAGCAGTAGGCCCAGTGAAAGTCATACTGGCCCAAATGACGGCCAGACGTTAAACGATATTAAAAGCCCAAATAAACAAACACATGCCCAGGGCTTTTATATTTCCACTTGAAGAGCAGCTGGGACCTCTAAGCAGCAAGCAAATATTATGTATACAGTCTACAACAGACATCTATTCCTCAATAATAACAATAGGAGGATTTAAAAATTTACTATTTATGATACAATAAATTACTATGACATTATTACTGTAGCACATAAGAAAACTATGTGTCCTTAGCGTTGTAGCACAGGCGGAATATTATAGCATTTTAAAAAAATTACTGTAGCACTTATAAAAACATTTAAAAACAAAATTGATGTAACGGAAATAAAAAAATGAGACCGTGCTTTGCACGAGGTGCACACTAGTTAGGAAGAGGTACGAACAGAGGATAATCTCTCTATGGGTGACTGATATTTTGTAGACCCACAAATTGAACAGCTACATCATAAAAATGTAGCAATGTAGGCCACAACAAAAATTCCCATTTGATCAGCATGATTAAATTTTTTTTAATAAGAGTGAGAAGAAAACACAAATATATATGTAAGGGGAAATGAAACAAAATCTCTACATCTTTTGTTGGTTTTCGGCAAACCAAATGAATCAAAAGGACTATGAACATATATGCCTCCAAGAAAATGGCATGTTATCGATGCTCTCTGCTGCTAGAGGACCCCCACTCAAAGCTTAATGGATTAAAATCCCCACCTTATTTGATATCGGGAACAAAATGATATCCAAAACTGAATTCAGTATACTATTGCTCTCTACCACCAATTACATGAATTTAGTTATCAACCTCTGACAAAAGGGATGATTTCAGCCTCCTCAGGTGTCCAATGCACTGATTATGATCAGAAAAAATGCCGCATTTGCTCTCTTGCTTCTCTACAATATCGTGGTTTCTGTCACATTTAGATTGCCACTTTGCCTGCAAATAATCCAGTGATCTCCAAGGAGGCAAAGGCATCGAGTTTCTTCGAAGAGAATACTCGGCAGCATCAACCATAGCCCTCAAGAACTGCTTAAGCCTGCCAAAAGAGCCCACATAGACCACAGGTAGAGATGACAGAATTTCGTCGTAAGGCTTTATTGCTCGCGCTATTTCGAAATGGCTTCGGAAATCAATGTCAATGATTAATCTTTCAGAACCCTTATGATTGCCATTAACAACCACATCAACATATTCATGATCGCCTAAATGTAAACAAGGAGGAACTAAATTAGAAAAAGGACTTCAGGATTCATTATGCAAAATGGTCATATAAAGAGAGATGGAAAAAGCAACAGCTTAAGTGCAGAGAGACCCCCCGTACGAAAAACCATTGAAATTCTGTTGTCGCAGATAGACCCCCAGAGTGTGTTTTTTGGCTCTTTTACCCTCAAACAGAAGGAAAATTCTTTTTTGAGAAATACATCTCCTGAGGGTAAAAGAGTGGAAAAATTTCACTCAAGGGATCTGCCCGCAATTGGGTGATAGTACAGGAGGACTATCCGCAACAATAGAACTACAGGGGTTCTATTTGCTGGTACTACAAGGGAACTATCTGCAATTAACACAAAGCAACAAAAGCATTTACCTCCAGGAACTTTATCGAAGCCTTGCCATCTTGATAAGCAAACTGCAGCATCGTAACCAGAAATCCTCAGATGCTTCACTAGAAAATGTCGGATACAGCTGCAACTACACTGACCATCTCCCTTGAAAACGTGAAGGTGGTTCTCATTGATAGACAACAGAATGGAACGGACAGCTGATAACAGATCACTCTCACATTGATCCACCGCACGTTTATGGAACTGAAGAATAGAGAAAAGTTTATGCATTTAAAGACTTTGTGATTAAAAGCAAGTTAAAAATGTGACAGAGCTCTAGAACATGCAAAGTCCTTAACTGTAACCCAACAATCAAATAGCGATTTGAGGGAAACTCCCTATAGCGAGGAAAACTTACATCCTAACAGAGACATGCCTGCAGTGAAGGAACAAATGCCAGTCCTAAATAAAAGATCTCTGTAATTTATAATACAAGGAGAAGTTGTTCATATGGGCAAAACATGTTTTCTTAAGCATCGTATGATTATCACTACTTGACAGTTAATTAGACGAGTCCTAATGCATCATATGATTGCACACACATCCCACAGTGGTTCAATATACCTAGATTCCGGGATGGAAAAAAAAGGATTAAAATGCATCTTCTTGTAAGATAAAAAAACACCTTACACATTTTTATTGGTTAGGAGAAAGATAAACAAATGCTGGTCATGTAATTTTATTCCACACACTATACATACTGGTATCTATTAAGTCAGGCTCAGAGTCAACCCATGAAAATAGAAGTTCCTGAAGGCAAGACAATAATTTATTAGCTTCCCACAAAAAAGACAATAATTTATTTGTTGTAGCTGGTTGAGATCCACACCTAATACAGACAGATCAATAATACATGATATTGCAACACTTGCATTAGTTGGCAACCAACAAAGTCTCAGAACTAAACATACAGACCTCAACATGAATGGAAACATTATTGCTCATGAGAAAGATTCTTATGATCTAATCTCCCTCTGCTCTCTCTCTGCCACCTATAATGCCAATTTTTAAACACCAATTGGGGTTTCCTTTGGAATACTAATTATTACTCTGAAAGCATCCTGAAGTAAACTGGCGGTGAGAAGGATATATGAGCTCATCTCAAGACTTAACCTTCAGAGAAGATGGCCAAGATAAAAGCAGTCGAGCTAAGTTTCAGAAATAAATCATGGCACTCTAGTGAATTCAGCTATTGCAACGGATATCAACAAGCGCAAGGTGAAAAAAACAGGTCCTGGAAGACCCAACTAGAGTCTGTATGATTACAAGTTTCAACCCAGCTAGAAAATTAAAAAGAGTCACACTATCTTTTTCTCCTCTTTTTAGGGGGCAAAAAATTCATACTAAGAAGAGTTTGCCTTTGTCCACATTTTCCATAGTCTGAGGGATTCATCATGACCATCTAATTACGTCGATCAAAAGTCAGTTGCTTTCCCCATAAGAAAGTATCAATTTTTATTTACTCGTTTTAAAATGGGAACAGCGGAAAAATAGCCAAAAATACATATAAAAAAGAATTTCACAAACAAGAGCATAGAATTAAATGCCGTTCAATGTAAACTCGATTTAAAATATAAAATTCCGGTATATCCTTGAAAAAACAATACTAAAATCCTCAAATACCCGTGTGCAATACTTTTTTTAATATTCAAAACCACCATCTATAATTAAAAGTCAGTTGCTTAGGTATCATCACTTCTCATATTGTATAAAAAAATAAAAATAAAATATTGCCCTGTATGCTAAGTGACCACCACAAATGGGAGAACTAAAGGATAGAAGATCACATAGATAGTGACAAGGAAGCCAATGCCTCCGTCCACACCTTTCTTTTTATTGCAGAATCTCATCTTTAGTGGGAATCCCTCTTCTTATTCTTTTTTTTTTCCTTTCTGGGAAAAATATAGAAGCATCCACAACAAATTGACCAGCCCACTAAGATTAAGATTTTAGCCTAACACACAGTTGGATATTATTCGACGACCAACATAAAAATAATTATAAAGCAACAATTAGAAAGGGGGAAAATAAAACTCACCAGAACTCTGTCGGCAAGGTGACCGAGATCAGAGCGCCCAGAATCGCTATCACTGCTATATTTAGGCTCATTCCCACTTCCTTCGTTCTCCCAAAAATCACTGACCATCACCGCCAAATCATGCTCGCTCTCGTGGCTGAACCCCCCGATCTGCTCACCGCCGGTGAACTTGTGCAACAGATCACCGGCGGCCGCGCAAACACGGCAATCGCCGTCGACTCCCTCGTTTCGAGCCAAGTCCAGACCCCAAGATCCGAACTTTATTGGTCGGCTTCGGGTGTAAGCCAGGTTCGCTCTCGGATCCTGAACCCGAAACCCAATATCATAAACCCCTAATTATTCAACAAAACAACGGAAATTCAGCTTATAAAAGCCCGAATTTCCCCTAATTTGACGAAATTCTGTGGAATTAATCGGAACTCTTAAACGCCGGTCCTCGATTGAGATCGATTCCAGAACCCTGATTTTTTAGTGGAAATTTTAAAGTGAAATAAAAGAAAATAAAGGATAATATCTGTTGTTCTTTGAAGAAGATTAAGAGGCGAGAGCCAGGACACGATGACTCCTTATATAGAGACAACCGATCGGCTAACCAAATGACGAAAATACCCCTGGGATTGTTGTGATGGCGGGGGAGGTTAATGGGAAAAAAAAAGCCCCTTTCTTTCGGCGGGAAATGGTTACAGTGAGTTCGAACGTGGTGATTAAATCATGACCGTTGATTTACGGTGAATGTCGCCATCGTCTTGTTATGTTTCGTTATCGCCTGAAAGAGACGCGTGTACTGCTATAACTGTTTGATCCATAATGGACGGTTGCGATTAGCTTGATTTACTGGGACGAAGATAGGGGAGCTTTTCATTCCTTTTGTGGGAGGGGGAAATAAATGCAGCACTTCTTGTGGCTNGGTGTGTTTGACAACAAGTTAAAATTGGGTTCTTTTTAATGGTGTCTTTGGCAACAAGTTAAAATTGGGTCATGATTGGACCTGACCCAATTTTAAGTTGGTTTCTTATTTGATACTTTTTTAGGTCAGAGTTGACCTAATTTTTTTAGCCTATATAGTGCCACTAAATCAGTTTTCTTTTGGACCAAGAGGGTCTGGTCGAAAAGAAAACTGGTTTAATACAAAATTGGACCAAATAGCGATTTTAAACTGATTTTCATTTGGACTAGGGGGTGCTGGTCCAAATGAAAACTAGTTTTGTGTAGTTTGCCAAACTTACCCTAAAAGAGTATCATCTTTCAATCTCATAAAAGTTTAGAAACTTTATAATCTATATTGCACATAAAAGTATCATGAGCGCTAATCTCATCAGAACTCTCATACAAGTCGATTGTTTTGCTCCGCTCACAAGCAAGGGTAAAAATATTTTGGGAAAATTCTTACCCTTTTGAGTGGTTCAGAACAACCCGCTCTCAAGTAGATCTTTTTTGAAGGATCTATAATCTATTATCATAAAGAAAGTGTATTAAGTGAAAGAATTTGGCCAGATAATTCTTTGACTAAATTTTTTATACTTATTTCTCCATGATCGAAGCCTCTACACAATGAAATATAAGTAAATAATAAAAAATGCATTCAAATATCATATTTTCACACGCACTACTCTTATAAGTCTTATTTTTATATGCACTACTCTTATAACTCTAATTTCATTAGGACAAACTTTTCAAAATTTGCCCTTATCGCATTATCATGAATCTTTTCCCCCCTAGTGAAGCTTAACCTTTGATTTGCGCACAAACACTTTGTAACAATCCAACCAATTTTTTTATACTTATTTCTGGACGGCCAAGGGTCAATTCCTGACTTAAAGTCTTGTTCTTAGGACGTGTTATGGAAAGATCGATTTATATACATGATACTATTCTCCTCTAATTCAAATAACATGTAAAATAAGAATAATGTGCTTAAATGCTTGATGATAGATTTGGCATGTATGACATGTCCTAGATGAGGTGTTGGTGATGTATATTTTTATTGTTTGGTTATAGATTTTTGGGAGTTGATGTTTAGCGATTTAGAAATTTGAGACATATGGTATATACGAGAGATTCCTTGTTTGGATTATTCCCTCGACGTACTCATCTCATGTTATGGGTTTCTATATCTTAACTCCTTTTAATACAGGATATAAGAGACCTGCTTGTGATAGACCTCATTTGATAACTACAATTAGTAATTTTCCTTGTCATCTTTAACAAGGGGCTGGCAGAAACAGACACGTGTCGGCTGGGAGTCCTCTTGCCTCTATGTCGGCCGCGCCAGATTTACAAGTACGCAATCCAAATCTGACCCAGGTGTTCGCCTAGAGAAATGCTCGTGGGCCCCGAGAGCATGGGACCCGATCGCAAGTGGTGCAAAAGTGGGGCTGGATTTTTGCTACAATTTTTTTTTTTCGCTTTGAAAACAAAATATCTACTCATCTGAAGATGTACGGGTCATTAATTATTCGAGTATTTGATTATATTCATTTCGATAGTTTAAAAGAATAAAATTTGGATGGGATGTGTATTTGATTCATTTGATCATCGGATAACATTTAAAATTAAACATCTAATTTGATCCTTTTATAATAATTCTTACGCAACAACGTTACCAAACTCTGGATTTTATTTAATCTCTTGAGATATGCAGGCACTCAGAACAACGGTTTGCTACAGCAAATAAGTATTACCTGTACTATACATAGGTTCCTTTAGTTTAATAGATTTCTCTCAATAATTAGCTTTGTTGATCAAACGTAATTAAATGAAATTTTTTAATCATTCCGTACTTCTTGAATCATATAGTAAATTTCTCTTTCCGGGCAATCCCCTAAGTTTGTCGTATTCTATCCTCGGCCAGCTAATAGGCCCAATAATTTAGATGGGCCCGACCCTTGTGATCGTCGTAAACAGTAATTAGTTTGGATCTTTCTGTGGGCTCCAGCGTCTGTAACAGCGCAGCCTACATTATAGGAAACATTTTGCCTCATGAGCTAGAAGCATACAACCTAACAAGGCAGTGAAGGCACCACAGCTCATTATTCTTTTGAAATATCTACTCGATACCTAATCTATAATGATTATAATAATACACTCATCTCCATTATTCGTCGGCAATAAGACAGGAGATCGATCAATAGGGAAATGAGATAAAAGTATAACAAAAAGGGGATATTAACAAAATAAAGTATGACAATAAACTAAGACGCAAAAGGCCACTTCAAATTGGGTTATCCAGCCCAATATCTCATTCTTATTGGGCCTTAAAAATTTAGTCAATGTAGGAAAGCGATGGGGTTTTCCAGTCCAATAGCTCATTCTTATTGGGCCTAAACAATCCTCAACAAGCTGTAGTGCATGTTGGAAACGACCCGACCCGACCCACTATCATCAAGCTTATAATTTTGAGTCGCAAACTCTGGATAAAATGACGACGGCAGCGCGACCGACGTGGACTCCGGCGGGCGGCGGCGGTGGAATCTTTGGGGCGTCGGAGTACTCATCGAGGGTTCCCAAGCTCAGGTTCGTCCATTTTCAGAAAGTAGTAATGATTCAGAGTTCATCAAAATTTGATTTTGACTTGAAGAGTTCTAATCTGAACCTACAATATTTGCTGTTTGCTCAGAATTAGATAAATCTTCCAAGAAATCTGTGAGTAGAGCATGCTACATTCATCAAAATTCAAACTTTTGTTGATTTGGGGGTTTCACTTTCTGTGAGAAGTTCTATATCATGGTTTTCCCTTTTTGCTGCTTCTTTGAGAGCTCAATTTGCCAAATTTTGACATGTAAGTAGAGAGTTTAGTTCGATAAAGTTGTAGAATTAATCCTAAGCCTGAAAAATTCAAGCGAGGCCAGCTCTATAACCCAATTGAATCCCCAATCTCATTGTTATTGGCACTTTGAATTCCTCATTGTTCTGTAACTTCTGTTCGATAAAGTTCGAAGCTACTTTCGTAACACAATCTTCTTCCATTTGTTCTCTAACTTTGACTATTGCAGGGAATCTGTGAGGAAGCATTCTAGTTTATTTTCCCTCAACCCAACAAGGTTGCAAAAACCTGCAATAAAAGCTAACAAGTGTTCCCGAATAAAACCCTCGATGAGCATCGAAAAGGACCAAGGGTTTAGAATGGAGGGAACTAGTAGCGTCTTGAAAGAGAAAGACGCAGTGATAATTGTCGATCATGGATCAAGACGCCAAGAATCCAACCTAATGCTAAGTATGAAGATCGTGACCCTATGACTACCCATTCATTGCTGCGTCACGATTACGTCTAAATCTTGCATTTTCTTGAACTTCAGATGAATTTGTTGCAATGTTTAAGGGTAGAACTGGGTACACGATAGTGGAACCTGCTCATATGGTAAGCACTAACCATCCATGAGTCTACTTTTTGTTTCTGAAACTTACAACAGATTCATTAATACTTTCCCTTGAAAATGACTAGGAATTGGCTGAGCCATCAATTAGAGATGCATTCAAACTGTGTGTTCAGCAAGGAGCCAAGAGGATTATCGTCAGTCCATTCTTTCTATTTCCAGGGCGGCATTGGCACCAGGTTTACTTAAATTTCGTTACGTGATAGAGTCAGAAACTTATGATATTTAAAAGGGTTAATCGAGGATAGGCCCCTGTACATCGCTTAATTGCGGACAGACCCTGTGCTGTCGCCCAACTACGGATGACCACCACTCTTTTGCTCAGAGAAAGAGAAATTTGTCTTTTGACATGTAGACCTCCTGAGGGCAAAAGAGTCAAAACAAAAAGTAATCCTCTCGAGGGGGTCTATCCCTAATTGGGCGATAGTACTGGGGGTCAATCCACAATTACCTCTATTTAAAAAATATGTGCAAAATATTGAATAACATAGGCATAATAGTTTACTGCATGTTTTACAGGATATCCCTTCGTTGGCAGCGGAGGCAGCTAAGGAGCACACGGGTGTGTCCTATATCGTTACAGCACCTCTTGGTCTACATGACCTTTTGGTGGTAAGATTTCAAATTTCGCCCTATAGATGACTACTAATGTCTCAAAGATTTCGTTGATAAACGATAGAAAATTATATGGTTGGCAAAACCTATTGATATGACTTCAGAACACAATAGTACCTGAAACGGATTGTGTGTGTTTTGAGCAGGATGTGATGAATGATCGAATTAAACAATGCCTATCCCGTGTGGCTGGTGATGCTGAAGAGTGTACTGTATGCGCTGGCACGGGCAGATGCCGTGAATATGGACTCCATTGAAGTGTAGACCTCTAGAAACATGAAAGACGTACAATGGAAAAAAATAGGAGCTAAAGCTTGTGGGTTTAATATTTAGCGTCTTTGCCTGTGGACGACAGAAGCATTCTATTTGTCTACATGATTTTTCATTATTTTTAGGCTCCTTTGTATTCGTAGCGTGGCTAGTTTTCCTACATCAAGTATTTCATAAGCTTCTTTTATCACATCATTTGTTACTGCAAACGACATCTAATCCTTCAACCCACTGATACGCAGTGGCTTTAATATTTCCAGGTCGATTTCTGCGATCGATGGATGATGTCGATGAGTGTAAGAAATGCATGGAAAAAGTTTCGAGTCTAACCTATGTATTACTATAAAGCTTTAGTTTAATTATAGTTCTCGTTCAACTAGTCGTCGTTTTACTGCATAATATCACGTGTTCACGTTCTATCTTAGCTCTTCAATTTCCCTCTGTTTGAGAAACATATTATCACACACTCTAATTTGCCTGATTTTATTTTGCTAGTTGTGTTGTTTTTCAAGAATTACAGCGAAAATGAACTGCGTCGGATGCCAGAGCATGAACTAAAGAACAGATAGTAGCTACTGGAAGTGAGACCTTCAACTCATCTCATAACGATGAAGAACCGGCCGCGGTGAGCAAGCAACCGGCCGCACACGGTGCCCTCAAGATCGCGCAACTTTATCGCGCAACTGAGCCATGTTGCATTTAGGGGTGTCTGTATTGTGCTCTTCTAGTTCGTGGCAAATGAGCCTTATGCATGGTTGAGCTTTAGAGAAGCTGACTATTTCAGAGTGGCCTCGGTCAGAGGCTCTGGATAAAATGATGACGGCAATACGCGGGCTCCGGCGAGAGGCAGGGATCGAATCTTTGGGTCGTCCGCGAATCACTCTTTGAGGGTGCCAAAGCTCAGGTTTGTCTCTCATAAATCCTAACCCTAACTTTTGTCTAATTTTTAAAAGAATTAATGGTCCAACCCTAATAAGTAATAGTATTAAGCTTGCGCTTTGTTGTGGGTATTATTTATCAGGGTATACATGTTGCTAAATTGACAATATGATCTTTGTGGCATGAACAATGTTTAATATTCGAAATTTTAAGATCTTTGTAGCATGAATAATATTTACTGTAGCATAAAACATGTTTTGCTTTTAACTTGAAATTGAATTGAATTGGGGATTTCGCGTTGGTAGAAAGTTGACCTGCAAGCCTAACTCTAGTTTTTAGTTGAGAAGTTGCAATACAATGTACTTGTACTTTTTAGCTGAAACTACAACCAATTGAATCTACTATCCCATACTCTTTCCTTCTATCCCATTACTACTGGCACTTTGAATTCAGGGTTACTTGCACATAGACCCCCCTGTACATCAATGTTTTGAAATTACTACCCCTGTAGCTTTAGTTTGGCAGACATAAAAGGATAAAAGAGGGTGGTTTTGAATTGGGGTTCCGGATAGAAACTTTGGGTTTTTCTGTGTATCTCAACAATGAGATAACCCTTCCTTTTATAGAGACTTTCCGGTAACCACCTCCACCCCAACTCGTATCAGCATCCATAATTTCCTCTACACATTCACGAATCCCTCTTCTACAGATATTAATAAAGTTATGCTAACAACCCAATAATATTTAGGAAATATTCCTTGGTTGGTTTGGTCAATAATTGACCGCGTCATATTAACATCTCCCACTTGACCAAATAAACCAAGTGACATGTCTCCCATTATCTGTGAGATCATATGTATCTTCTTTCCATTACTCTCACTATTCGTAGAGACTAGAGAGCAACCATTATTTCATTATTCATGAAATTTACTTAGACTTATTTATTTCTAAGTCCCATCAAACTTACATGTTTGATAAAAGATTTTGCTAGTATTTCTTTTGTCAAAGGATCAACAATCATATTTATAGTAAGGATGTAAATCACTTTAACTTCTCTTTTTTCTATAATATCTCGAATATAATGTTTCCCTTTGGAGCTATTCACGCCACTATTGATCAGGCTAATGGGTGCCTAATTATCACAATAGATATTAACATGTCCTTCTAACAAATTGAGATCTAAATCAATTAGAAACTCTCTTATCCATACAGCATGCGTAGTTACCATACTGCAAGCTATGTATTCAGCTTCTTGTGTGTATCTAGCAACACACCTTTATTTCATACTACTCCAAGAAACATCTTCTCCTTCAAAGATGAACAAGTGTCCCGAAGTGGACTTTCCATCATCTTTATCACCTCTGAAATTAGCATACGAGTAACTGAGGAGATTGAGCTAATTGACTTGATAAATCAATCTATGAGTCAATATACCTCTGATATACTTCATAATCCTTTCAACAGCTTTCCAATGTGCTGATCCTAGATAACTTTCATATCGACTAGGTAGACTTACAACATAAGCTAAATCAGGTCTGGTGCATAACATTGCATACATTAATCTTCCAATTGCTTGAGCATACGAAACATTTAATGGCTTTTACCCATCTCCGGGGTTTTGCTCTTTACATAATCTCTTTCTCATGACCAACGGAGTTAGTCCTGGATTGGAATTCTTTATTCCAAACCTTTTAAGAACTGACCTTAAATATTTTTCTTGGTTTAAACTTAGCATTCTAGACTTTTTATCTCGAATTATTTGAATTCTAAGAATATATAATGCATCACCTATGTCTTTTATCTCAAACTCTTCGCTGAGATATGCCTTAATTTTATTCAACGTTTCCATGTTATTTTCGGCGAGTAATATATCATCCATATATAAGTATAATATAGTAAAGTTGCTCCCACTTTTCAAGACATATGCACAATTATCTAATTTGTTTTGAATAAAATCAAGTTTGATGACTGCATCATGAAATTTGAGATACCACTATCTAGAAGATTTTTTTAAACCATATAGAGATTTCATTAATTTATAAATTTATGTTCATGTCCTTTCATCTGAAAATCTTCAGGTTGTTGCATATATATATGGCTTCCTTCAACTCTCTGTTAAGGAATACAGTTTTAACATCCATTTGGAATAATTCCAAATCAAGATATGCAATGATAGCCAAAATAATTCTAATGATGCAAATTTAGCTACGGGAGAGTACGACTCCTAAAAATATATTCATGTCTTCTGGTTGTAACCCTTAGCAACTAATCGTGCTTTGAATTTATTAATAGATCCATCAACATGATATTTCTTTTTTAAGCACCCATTTACACCTCACTACAACAAATTGCACTTTTCCCGACGCTTATTCCCGACGCATGGTTAAATACGTCGGTAAAAATTATGTTTTTCCTGACGATTTTAGTTAGCGTCGGCAAAACATATATTTTTCCCGACGTTTATAATTAACGTCGCTAAAAGTGTATATTATTAGCGACGTTTTAACTTAGCGTCAGTTAAAGTGTATGGATTTCCCGACGTTTTTTTATTTTCGTCGACAAAAATATATATTTTTAGCGATGTTTTAGGGTTGGCATCGCTAATAGTATATATTTATTGCGACGTGTTAGGTTAGCGTCGCTAAAAGTCACTTTTTCCCCACGTGCTTGCTTTGCGTCGCTAAAAGGTCTATTTTTAACGACTCATTTTTATTCATCTGCGACGCCAAAAAATTGTTCGTTCCCCCCTAAAATTTCATTCGTTCCATTGTTCCCCCCAAAATTTCATTCGTTCCATCGTTCCCCCCAAAATTTCTCTCATTCCCCCCTAATCTCCTCTCTCTCTCTCTCTCTTTCTCTCTCTTTCTCCCCCTGATCACAGCCGCCGACCCCGTTCCCCCACCCCCTCGACCTCCTCTCTCCCCTCGTTCCACCGCCCCATCTCGCCGTCCCTCGCCGCCCTATCCCACCGCCCCCGTTTCCCCAACCCCTCGACCTCTCTCCCCTCGTTCCCCCCTACCCGTCCTCCTCTCTCGTTCCCCCCGCTAATCCCTTCACCCTAGTTCTTGAGGTTGATTGGGGATTTGAGTGGTTGTTTGATGGGCTTTTGGTGCTCAAATCAAGAGGCACACTCACGAATATGGGAATATTTGAAGGATCCAGAGGATGAAAGCTCCTTTGGAAGAATACCCTTTCAACTATGGAATGTTGGCAAGTTCGGGTCTTCAGCTGACCTCCACTCTTGGAGCTTCAGGTGAATTGGTCGTTTTGGTGATCTTTTCCTTTTTAATCATACTTTATAGACTGTTTGGAAACCTGTAATTGATTTCAAATTCAGGAATTAGGCCAATACCAGTGTTTGGATAAAAAATTTTGAAATAATGGAATTGGCCCAATTTTTATCTGGAGCTAAACTCTACACTTGGCCTGGAATCTTAAATACAAAGACCATGGTTACCCCTTTCGTTATACTCATTGCAGTAGAGCTCAGAACTTCATCTGAAGAAGGTATGTCTGCTGGCTTACAGTAGAAAAATACATCAGTTCCTTCATGCACATGAGAAGTAATATTCTTTGATTTAATGCTTATATTTCATGTAGAAAAATACATCAGTTCCTTCATGCACATGAGAAGTAATATTCTTTGATTTAATGCTTATATTTCATGATTACATATGGTGTTCAGTTCAAATATTCTTTGATTTAATGCTTATATTTCATGATTACATATGGTGTTCAGTTCATTAGTTTCATTCCTCTATATACCCTTAGTATTATCTCATTGGAAAAACTATCGGCTTCCGTTAGTAATAGATAACAAATGTATCGTAATGTTTCTTGTTGACATGTTATATGTTACTAAGTCATTTATACAATGGACAAAGTGATTAACATTACTTTCCTAACATTTAGCTATAATCCTTTATTTTTGTATAAACAGGTTAATAATGATTATAGCAGTTTTTATTCTATCTTGGGTAGGAACAAAATGTGTTATTTGAGGGGTCTTTTTTCTGTTATTATTAGGTTTTGCTCAAATAAATGTTTGCATTATTTCTCTAACTCATTTTCAAATGGTATTTTAATAGTTAAAACTTTGCGAGTGTTGAAGAACTCTTTGGGGCTTCCACTCCGTCTTGGCTGGAATGGTGATCCATGTGTTCCCCGACAACATCCTTGGAGTGGAGTGGACTGCCAGTTCGACGGAGTTAGTGGCAAATGGAACATAGATGGATTGTACTTTCTCGACATTGTATTTATTTATGATCTAAACAATATCTTACTTTAATTTCAAAACTTTCTTTCCTATGCTATACCTTTCCCTATCTGGATTTAGAAAAACAAAAAACAGAGTTTGATATGTTTGAGATGAAATCAGACTTGTTTTATTTGGAATTTATTCACAGTTTTTAAATAAAATGTGTTTCTGAAGTATGCGTATTTGGCTTATAAGTTTGAGTCCACAAGAATATGTGTCTAATCTTATAAGTAGGTGCATATATCCGCATGCGAATATGCTAATAAACAAATGCAGGTCTTTGTATGCGAGAATTTATAATATAGAGTTTTTGCATGGGTAATATATGCACCCCTGGTCTTAATTTAATGTCAACTGCAAGAATTGTAGCTGTACATATTTGGCATCATACTCACCCCTTTATTGTTAATTGCAAGAATTGTAGCTATGCATATTTGACGAGAAACACGTTTACTAGAAAACTTACATGTAAATTCAGATTCTGACATAGTAATGGTCCATTGGTCACCCTATCATTAGCTAAACAGGTGCACCTTACCTGCCTAAGCCAGACGGGCTTTAATTGCTTGCTTTTGTCCTAGTTTTAGGCTTTTCTCATTGTTGTTCATGTTACTGTCATAAACATGAACCTCATGGGTCATGACAAGGGAGGGCAGGCCTATTCATGTCTTGAACAGGAAGAAATGTACTTATTGCATGTGGCACCTTGAATTGTGTTTTCCCTTTTCCCCCCTTAGGCGGATCCTCAAAATGCATTGTGTGTGTGCATATCAACAGAGCAGTTCCTACTCTGTTAAATTTCATTCTGAACATCGTACATGTGGTTTTCATATTTCTAATGTTTATTCATCCCTTTTTTTAATTTTATCTTTAGGCCATTCTGTACCTTCTTTTGTTATCGATGTGTTTTTGGGGTAAATTACTGAAAATCCCCCTAACGTTTAAAAATATCAATTTACCCTCCTTTCTTTTAGTGTCAACAACATTAACTTGGATATGGAAGCTAATATCATAGGATATGACAATTAGGTGCACGGTCGTATTAATGTTTATATGGTTTTTATTGGCAATTGATGATTATTTGACTGGAAATTGAAAATAATGGGGGTGAAGTGTGACACTGTCACTTTTAAAATGGGGGATTTTTTTGTCAATTATGCAAACCTTAGCGGAAATTTTTACAATTTACCCTTTTTCCAATCGGACTCCTAATACTATCTATTGCCATTCTAGCTAGACTGGAAGGGATGTCGAAGTAGTTGAATGATTGGTTTTCAAGTTCTAAAGATGTATTAGAATACGAGGTTATATTTTTGATTTGATTTAATTGGAAATCCTAATTGTTAACAAAATAGCATGTTTGTTTTGCAGGGTGTGTTCAGTTATGTTTGGTTCTCTCCACCAAAGAAGAAGGTTCACAGGATACTCAATGGCATCAATGGAATCATCAAGCCATTGAGGTATGTGCACGAAGTCCATTGGAGAAACCGTCTGGTTCTTATCATGTCTGATTTTGATGAAATCGTACATCTTATCATGAATAAAGGAGCAGGAAGCAGAGGCTTCTTTTCTGTTTATTGTATTATATGCTTGTTAACAAGTATAACTACCTAACTTAAAAAACAAAACAAAAGCAATCTGCTGAATGTTTAGTAGTTACGACAATCAGCTCATGATGTTGGCCTGAGATTTAAGTTGAAATAATTCGTGGGTGTCAATTGCTTTAACTACAATATACCTGTATTTGCATATATTGTAATCAATTCATGGGTGGAACTGAGATTTTGAATTTAAAACTATTGGTCCGGCTACCAATTTCTATGGTTAGTTATTTCTTTTCTATATTAGCAACCACTTTCAAGGAGCAGTTGGAAAAAATATCACTATTAATCCTTTTCTAAATTAGGTAACTTGGATCTAACACTTTCTTTTCAATATTCCAGGATATCCAATTGGAGCTAAATTCTCAGTGACTTACTTTTCCAAGTTTGTCAAGACGTGCAGACACACGCACAAATTCTTGCACACAACACGCGCGCATGCGCACGCGCACATACATATCTATGTGCATGTGTGTGCATGTGCGTGTGCGGGGACGAGGGACATGGGGCGTGTGTGTACTATATATATATATATATATATATATATATATATACACACACACACACACACACACACACACACCATTTATTACCTTATAAAGAGATTTTGGTTATATGATTATATATAACGTCATATATATATATATATATATATATATATATATATATACACACACACACACACACACACACACACACCATTTATTACCTTATAAAGAGATCATTACGTCATGATTATATATAACGTCAGCAATAGACTATATGATAATCTTTTACTTACTTTAGGTGGTAAGTTTATTAAGTTTCTGGGTGTGTAGTCAACAGTTGATAATTTGTAATAGCAGAACTAAATGTGCTGACTCTTTTAACTAAGTTATCTTGTGCTTGCGCTCATGCTCGTAGGATACTTCTGATAAAGAAGTGAGTTTATGAAAGTCCCTTATTTTTAAACATTTGGATATTATTTGCATCTCTTTGTGTTAATATTTAGATGCGGTGATGTGTTGTTTACCCTTATTAGAATATGATACTTATTTATCTGTTCCTTGATTAGAGTGTCGCTTCTCTTTAAGTTAATAAAATGGTGAGTTTAATGTTCTCTTTTCTACTGTTTTCAGAAGAAACCATCATGTGGTTTGTACATTGATTTATGATCATTGGAACTTTGCTAATAGATTACTTATCAAGGAGAACAAATAAAAAATATTTGTTTTTGTTGAAAAATTCCAGAATGACGCTACTTCTAGGACCACCAGCTTCAGGAAAAACAACGCTTTTGTTATCTTTGGCTGGGAAGCTTGACAAACAACTAAGAGTTTGTGCCCTCTCTACCCTCCCTCTGTGAATTGATTTGACATGCATTTTGTTTGCTTTCACGAATTTGTTTGCATTAAAAAAATCACTTCTATCAGCTTACAGCATGTCATCGTTGCCTTGCCATGATATTGGATCACGGTCTATTTGGAAAAGTCCAGTGATCATTGTAGTTGTTTATCCAAATTTTCATGACATAATGTGAACTTGTATTTCAGATATGAATAATTTTTTAATCATATTTTATCACATAAAAAGGCTTTTCATTCTGAGCATTGTCTTCATTGCATCAAATGACAGTTGTTTGAAGAAACCAAGGAGGGTACACTACCAAAAAAAATTGCTATTTATCAGATTGCAAATAAAGAGGTACTTGCAGCTTCATGGTGTGTTGTAGAATTGGTTTAAATTTTTCTTCTGCTGTCACTGTCGAGTTATTTGTGCTACAGGTTATAATTATATGCAATCATCAGCTCAGTGTTTCAAAGTCTCATGATGCTCAGATGTCAAGATTGAATGAGAAAATAGACGAGTTAAAGGTTATATATATTTTATTCTTCTGCCTGAATTTCTTCCGCCTCCTTGTTCTCATCACTTTCCCTTATGATTTTTTTGTTCTGCTTGATTAGGCACAAAAGGAGGAGTTGCAAGTGGATTTGAGCAGGCCAAGAAAAGGAAAGCCTACACTTAAGCAAAAGAAGAACTTGTCCCCTGAAGTGTAAGGAACTAGAGCGTATTCTTAAGAACTTATATATGAATTTACATCTTTTTGCTTGCTGATGCAAGTCATTGCAAGTTATAGAAGAAGCTGATCTCTAAAAATGGAACATTTCCTTGACTGTAGCAGATTTAGTGCTATTTTAGGACAATTGAAAGTCTTACTATCCCAATGATTGAAACTCTGTAACAAAATTTTCCATTATCATTAACTAATTTGGATCTAAGGCATTGTTTGGCAAAACTAGCTGAAAGCTGCGAGATTATAGCTGTGAAATTGTAGCTGAAAGCTGTTAGCTGTGTAGCTAGCTGATTGACTAGAGCTGTTTGGCAAAAGTAGCTGTATAACTAGCTTAAATTTGTTAAATGACTAAAAAAGACATGCAATATTATTGATATAAAATTAGAATTATTAGGGGCAAAAACGGAAGAAAAAAATCGGCAGCTCCTTTCCAAAGACAAACGCTACTTGAGGTAGCTTTCCAAAAGCTAATTGCAAAAGACACAATCTCCAAAATAATCTCCTTCTATTTTTGGTCACCAAACAGCTCTACTAGCTTATTGACCAAGTCAATAAGACACAAGCTCTTAGATAAGATATTTTTTTTTGGTTGCCAAACAGTGCCTAAGTGTTACTCGTATGTGAGATTGTTTTGACAAAATCTAATTAGTGTCATCCTTATATCGCTGTCTTATATCGTTGCATTTAGTGGTTACTCATTGTTGAGGGATCCACACCATAACAAAGGGCTTGCCTTTCCATTAATGTTTTTCAGGAGAGAAATGAGAGGCTTTTCTACAAGCTTCTAATAGATAACGTTGAAGAGTTGCTTCCTGTTGTTTACACACCTACAGTTGGCGAGGCTTGCCAGAAGTATGGTTGCAATGCATCTTTAGGCGACCACAAGGTCTTTATTATATCAGTTTGAAGGAGAAGTATGTTGCAATTCCTTGTGCTTCTTTTGTATTTTGGTGATTTTTGTAACTGAAACTGAAAGGTTGCTTGATCTTGCAGGGGAAAGGGTCTTGAGGTGTTGAAGAATTGGCCTGAGAGGAGCATTCAGGTTATTGTGGTTACTGATGGTGAGCGCATTTTGGGGCTTGGAGATCTTGGATGTCAGGTGAATTTGAAGTTATTGCAGTTAGTTTGTGCCATTGTCATCCTCTTTGCCATGAAAACTACCATTTCTTCCACCAGTATTATGATATCTCACTGTTTAGTGACAACATTGTACATACAGATTATTTGAATCTACTTGCAAACTTTGCTAATATCCACCCTCTTCTAACTCATGTAATTCTGGCTGATTTGCAAACTATTTGGATGCTCTGACCATCGCGTGTGTAATTTCCATTCTCCTTCTTGCAACATTTCCCTTGATTCATATGCATCTTCATGTATTGATCTTCTTCTTGGTTGGCAAGCCCTCATATCAGATACTTTGTTATTGATGCAAGATATATGGTGACACTAATGTTTGGAGTTCAAAGTGTTTGGGACTGCTGATGCATGTTTGTGCCTGCCAATGTTTCAACTCTATATCTATGGAGTAGTTCATTGTAAATCATTCTAAGTTGCAGAATTTAAAATCTGAGTAGGAACATACGATTTGTATTGAGCGATATAAAATATATAGTAGTATTTGTTTGTGCTATATATATGTAGCTGATAATCTGACGTTACATTTTCTCTAACAGGAAATAATCAAAGAACTGATGGAAAGACTACCACACATGAAAGAGCTTATGGATATGTACCGTACTGCTGTGGCCTTGATAGAGTGACTGCAAAGTAACAAATGCAGGAGTTAGAGTCGCAAAAACTCTACCAGAGAATATACCTTCATCTGTGAAGAGGTTCACTGATTGTGTCGTTCTTTCACTTCAAGTTTTCTGTTTTTCAACTTCGTTTAGTTTCTTGTAAATCTTATAATGTGTCATTCTCTGAAATGGAAAACACTGAATATTGCAAACTGGAATATTTAAACAGGCATTTGAGTGTTGACTTGAAAATGGAAATGAATGTAATTATTTTGCAATGGGAACAAATTCTTTGTTTATCATAATATGCAACATGTTTGGAGTATAATTTGATGTTTGGTTTCTTTGTTGATGTGAATGGGAGCAAATTTTGTGTGGATGTTTAGGTTCAGAGTAGGCTTGTAGTTGATAAAAAAGATATTACTTTTGGCGATGCAAATTAATGTCGACAAAATTATACTTTTTACCGACGTATAATTATGCGTTGCCAAAAATTATAGTTTTGTCGACGCTATCTTACATCGGCAAAAGTATAGCTTTTAACGACGCTATTTTGCGTCGCCAAAAGTATAACTTTTAGCGACGTTTCACTCTACGTCGCTAAAAGCTGCACTTTTACCGACGCTAACTTGCGTCGCCAAAAGTATAGTTTTTAGCGACGAATAATTTTGCGTCGCTAAAAGCTATATTTTTGCCGACGCATAGCTTTTGCCGACGCTGCATGTGTCGCGAAAAGTACACTTTTACCAAGGTAAAATATTATGCGTCGCTAAAAGATATACTTTTCCCGGTGCATGACGCGTCGCCAAAAGTATACTTTTGGTGACGTAGTGTATTTGCGTCGCCAAATACTTTTCTTGATGCACTTTTGGCGACGCGTTAGCGACGCTGTATTTTGCGTCAGGAAAGATTTTTTCCGACGTTTTTTAAACTTTTACCGATGTTTTTGTTTCGTCGGCAATGTTGTATTTTGTTGTAGTGCCTTATGACTTTTCTATTTTTCGGTAGATCACATAATTCACATACCTTATTCTTTTCTATAGAATCAAGTTATTCTCTCATGAATTCTAGCTATAAAGCTAATTCATGTGATTTCATCACATCATAGAAGATTAAGAGATATTGTTTTTTTACATTTGTATCTACCGAGAAACAAGATGGCTCACATGAAGACAAATAGTAATCATCCATCCATAACAGTTGCGTTCTTGGCCTTTTGTTGCTTACAACTGGTTGATGAGATACATCATTTTTCATAGATATTTTATTATTTTTAGGGTTAGGTTCATTCATAATATCAGGATCCCTAGTGGAAACAATACCATAATAATCATCATCTATTACAGTGAGAGGTTTTGTTTCCTCTTGAACTTGTTCCTCTTCCTCTAGATTCTCTACAAATGTAGCATCTCTACTTTCAGTAACTCCTTTTTTTTATTGTAGAACTTATAACGTTTTGAATTTTCTGAATATCCTATGAATCTATACTTTATTGTTTTAAATCCCAACTTATTTCTAATTTGGTATGGAATGAGAACATGGGCTATAGTTCTCCACTTCCTGAGATGACTCAGAGTAGGTTTCCTCCTATTCCATAATTCATATAGTGTAGATACAACTGACTTGGTGGGAATTCTATTTAAAATGTAGCTTGTAGTTAATAATGTTTCTCCTAAAAAAATTTAGAGAGACCAAAATGAGACAACATGCATCTAACTACATTAAGCAAAGTTGTGTTCTTTCTTTCAGCAACATCATTCTGTTGTGGTGTATACGACATTGTTGTATGCCTTTTAATTTTATGCTGAATACAATAACTCAAATTCTTTTGAGTTATATTCCCTACCTCTATCAATTCTCAAAATTTGATTTTTATTCCAAGTTGGTTTTCAACTTCTGTCTTATATCTCTTAAAGCAATCAAAAGCTTTTAATTTTCTAGATATAAGATAAACGTGTGCAAACTTGGAATAATCATCTATAAAAATAATAAAATATTCCTTATTACTAGAGTTTTGACACTTAGGGGACCACAAATATCTGAGTGTATCAACCCTAAAAGTTTATTGGCTTTTTGTCCATCAATAAAAGGTTTTCTGATCATTTTACTAGTTAAATAATGTTCACATTGTGGCAATTGAACATTAGATGGTGCAGGCAGTAAGTTCATTCTAATAATTTCTTTTATTTTTGAAATACTAGCATGTCCTAGTCTAGAATGTCAAAATTCAGACTCCGAAATATAATAGGACAGTAGATCAAATTAGAAAATTTATTATTAGAATTATTACAAACTACTGAAAGAATGCCTAATTCATGCTCGAGCACATGTTATTTCATAGCATACACTTTATTATTTTTTCTTATAGAAACCCGAATATAGTAGAACCTAATTTCAACTCCTTTTTTCATCAAGCTGGGAACAGAGATCAGGTTGTGCTGAATTCCTGGGGCATAGAACACATATTTAAGGACAAGAATACTGTTTTCAAGATCTAATCTATATGAACCAATACCTTCTACATCGAGATAGATATTATTTCCTGTATAGATCCTCTGTTCTCATTTCTTCAGCTTGGTGAATTCTGTGACTCCATTCTTGTCTTTTGCGATATCTCTCGCACCAAAATCGATCCGCCAACCGCTAATTGTAGGCGTCAAAAATTACCTAGAGGTCTTAAACACAGCTCAAGACAGTGAGAAGGCAAAGAACGTCATCATCTAAGTCAAAGGAGATCATCCAATGCAAAAGGAAGCAAAAGGAGCACGCAAAACGACAATTCGAAGGGACTTGGAGCTGTCTCGCCAATTGCGAGACAGTCTCTCGTGTTTTCTGACAGTTTTATTGAGTTTTGCGGGGTCCACGTGGCTCTATAACTACTTTAAAACGTTTATTAACGTTGATGGACAATTATATCCTAAAAATACGCCCACTACCCTCGAGAAATACGACATTTAACGCACTTCAAGTAGTGGGACGACAGTTACAAAGTGTCTGCCAATGTCTCCTTTGTCCGAGACAGTGGGAACTGTCTCGCTCAAAGGAGACAGTGAGCACCAAGCTATTTGTTTCCTATTCGACAGTTACAGCTTCCAATGACTATGAATACACACCTACACACTTGTGCAGGAAAAAGAGAGAGGAACCAAGGCGTAATTGAGTAGAACCAAATCGGTATTTGGCGAACTTTGAGAGCAAGAGATAATTCCTCATCCACTTTCAAGCATACAAATAGCCTTCTGGTGTTATCCTTGAGTTCAAGCTTGGACTTGTCCTTGAGAAGAGTGTTCATCTTACTTTGCTAAGATATTCACTTCAGTTCTTGTTTCCCCGTCGAAACATCAACTTTTCGCCTTCTTCGTATCCGACTCGGAACGCTGCTCGGTGGTCCATAGATAACGCATCCCCGACACATGCAAAGATCTCACGCAAACAGAAGCTACTACGTAGGAGTTTCCGTGTGTGTTTCTAGGGAATACATTTTTTAATTTCTTTATAAAGAAGAGTTATACGCGTGTAAAGCTCATTCATTTATTTCTATTGAACGATTTAATGGAAACTACAAGGAAATTTGTTCCTAACACAAACACTAATATCCATCATCACAGCATTGCATTCCGTCACACCAACAAATTCTCTTTTTCTAGTACACCTTGCTCCAGATGCTATAATAACCTCCCTTATTCTCCTGCATTTCACCTTGTAGGCAAGTGAGCTTGAAATGCCCGAACTTTTCATAATTGTAGCAGGCTCCACAGGGTACTTTCTTTCTCTTGAATTGCTGCGATTTCGATCCTCACATTTGTGATTTACTAGGACTAGGGTTTTTATAGCTTCCAGTATTATGCCTCTAGCGGACATAACTCATCTCTTGCTGCATCATGTTCAGTTATGGTTCTTTCCTACTCTATCGCTATGTGTATAGGAAGATCAGTGACATATTTAATGGCATAGTTCATTCTTAATGTGGTGACAGCCATAACAAGGGAAGGGCGCAGACTATTCAATACAGTTGCCACTTGCATTCTTTCCGGGATTTCTGTCCCAGCAGTGGATAAGTCATTAGCCATAACAATCATCTTGTTAATACGCTCTACGACATTGTCTCCCTCTTACAAACGACAAGAATTATACTTATGCAAGAGGAGTTGAATGTTAACTTCAGAGGCAGTGTATTTTTCTCTTATAGCATTCCATATGTCCATGGAAGTCATATAAGTTTCAAAAACTTTAATCAGGTTATCTTCTATTAATATGAGCATTATACTTTACTTCCACTATTCAAACCCTTACTTTTCTTCAGGTGTAGATTTATCAGTAAGGGTTAGAGCAGTGATGTCTATTATATCATCGGTATTGTC